CACTAGTCGATTGGATCCCCATTAACAGTCGGCTATGTGCTGTTAGATTAGAAAGTTCCATCCAAGTGAGAAGAAATCGGTGTGAGAAACGATGTCTTTTCGTCATCTCTGCCTATGCCCCGACAGATTGCAGCCCGGACGCAATCAAGGATGAGTTTTACCACCAGTTATCTGTTCTTCTCCAGAAAGTGCGCTCGACAGATATTGTAGTACTAGCCGGAGACTTGAATGCTCAGGTCGGGCGTCTAGGCACAGAAGAGAGTCGTTTAGGTGGCCGATGGGGACTCGTTGGTCGCAGGTCAGATAACGGGAACCGTCTACTGCAACTCTGCACAGACCACAACCTGTTTCTGGCTAGCACTAACTTTCGGCACACTTATCGCCGATGTGCCACCTGGTGTCCTCCCTCTGCATCCCAAGCCTGGATTCAGATTGATCACATCGCGATTAGCTACCGCTGGCGTGGTTGTGTAAAAGACTGCCGCTCCTTTTGGAGTACCTATCTGGACTCTGACCATGCCTTGGTCTGCGCCAATCTTACCTTACTTTTCAGTGGACAACGAAGTGACCGCCATCAACGGATTGATATCAGCAAGCTGGTTGCAACTTCTGTTGCTAGTAAGTATCAAACCGAGCTAGCCTCTAGGCTAGCTACCACTCCACCGAAAAGTATAGATGAGCATTGGTTGCAATTGCATGACGCCATGAAAATGGCGGGAACAGTCAGTTGTGGGTTTGCGAAACGTCCCGCTTTTAAGCACTGGGTTTCTTCTGGTTCCTTACAACTCATTGAAGCCCGTCGGTCTACTCCGGGTGACCGTGAGTTTGACCATAAACGATGGATGTTACGTAAGGAAATTGGGCAAAGCTTGCGTAAGGACCGAGAAGCCTGGTGGTCGGAGCGTGCTAATGAGCTGGAAGCAGCAGCTGCATCTGGTAACTACCGGAAGCTCTTCCAGCTCATCCGAGCCACTGGCAGCAAGAAGTCTGGTGTGAGTGAAACAATCTGCGAGGATGATGGGATGCCAATCACTAACATCCATCGACGTCTTGGACGATGGGCAGAAGTTTTCGAAGGGCAGTTCAACTGGCCTGCTGCTCCGGCAACATCGGTCAGACTGTCCTGCCCTCCATGGCCGGTGACGACTGATCCACCAAACGAGGAGGAAGTCCGCAAGGAACTCCAACTCTTGAAGCGTTACAAATCACCTGGCCCAGATGACTTACCTCCGGCTCTTTTTAAAGATGGTGGTGACTTTTTGACTAAGGAATTGACGACGTTGTTCACAAAGGTTTGGGAACTAGAGAGTGTACCAACGTCATGGAACGAGTCGATAGTTGTCCCTATCTTTAAAAAGGGTTCACGTTGTTCCTGTAACAACTATCGGGGGATAAGTCTACTTCCGATTGCTATTGGCTTCCGTCATACTTCGTAGGTTGTTCAAAACCCGAGAAAGATTGACTCGCGAGGAGCAGGCTGGGTTTCGTTCTGGTCGAGGATGTATTGATCATATCTTCACCCTCCGCCAAATGTTAGAACACCGCCATACTTATCAGAGGCCAACAATCGTAGTGTTTCTTGACATCAGGGCTGCCTTCGATTCGTTGGACAGGACTGTTCTCTGGGATTCTCTGTTGAAGAAGGGTGTGCCTGAGAAGTTTATTAACATCTTAAAGGCCCTATATACAAACACCTCAGGCAGAGTGAGGACATACAACCACCTTTCTTCATTGTTCTATTCGAGCAGTGAGGTTAGGCAGGGTTGCCCAATCTCACCATTCCTCATCAACTTTGCCATCGATGAAATTCTGGATACAACCCTGATGGATGTAAGTAATGGCGGTGTGGATCTGTTGCCTGGAGAAAAACTTCTCGATCTTAAGTATGAGGATGATATTGTCTCACTGTGTGATAATGCCCAAGCCATGCAATCCACACTTAATCAGTTGGCAATCAATGTACGTAGGTACGGTATGTGCTTTGAAATTTCGAAGTGCAAAGTACTTCTACAAGACTGGCACGATTCTAATCCTGTACTCGCTCTGGATGGTGAGCAGATAGACGTAGTCGAGAAGTTCGTGTATCTAGGTAGCTACATAAGTGCTGATCGTAGCGTGAGTGTTGAGATCAGTGCACGTATAGTGAAAGCCAGAGCGGCTTATACCAATCTGGGCCATCTTTGGCGCATTCGTGATGTTAGTCTGGCTGTAAAAGGTCGGATCTACAACGCGTCGGTGAGAGTAGTTTTTCTTTATGCTTATGAAACCTGGCCTCTCCCAGTTGCGGGTGTTAGATAGCTCTCTATGTTTGATCATCGTTGTATCCGAAGGATTGCTGACATCTAGTGGCAACACCATGTTAGTAGTGCAGAGGTTCGGTATCGTGTGTTCCGGCGCAGAGACGATAATCCAATTGGTGGTACCATCTTGAAACATCGACTTCGGTGGCTTGGATATGTTCTATGAATGTTGTCCCAGAGAATTCCACGTCGTGTATTATTTGCCGACTCTGGGACTGGTTGGAAAAGGCGGAGAGGTGGTCGGTGCATGACATGGTGTCGGGGTATGAAAGAAAGCTGCAAAGGACTGGCTTCTGTCGGTCCTTCACGACTCCCTGGCTGGGGTCTGAGAGATGGTGCAACACAGTGGTTTAAGACGTTATCATATATGGCTCAGAATAGAAGCCAGTGGCGATCCTGCTGTAACCTTCTTTTACTTTCTTCATAAAAAGTGGTTGTGTCTCCCTTACCTGAAAGATTTCTTTTGATTGTACCTTTCCGTTCCCTCGTTACTACCACACTACCTTACACCAATCTCTTCGTTATTGTTCTCTTTTTCTTTTGCGCTCCTTAGTTTTTTTTTCTATCTTCGAATTCTCATTGTTTTGTGTGGCGCATATATATTGGCGCTCTCTTGTACCAATATTCATGTGTTCAAATAAATAAAAATCAAGATACCGAAGCCCATATGCATCATTGATTTGGTTTGGGATCCGGTTCAAGCGCCGGACATTCGCTTTTCTTCCTCTCGTTTCCGTAAACAACACCCCTGCCACGAGAAGGCAGTAAGTAGGACTTCCCTGGCAGAGCCTATATACGCGTGGCCATTTGAGAGCATTTCGAGAGAGAGAGAGAGCGGACCCTCACCACTCTCGACCGTACCATGGCATTAGGGGGCTGTCGCTTTTGTGGTTTTCAGTAATTCTTTATCTGCTTCCATCCTGTAATAAAAAGCTCTTCGTACTGAACAAACAATAATAATAATAATCGCATACTCAGTTCTAACTGACTTCAAGACGAATTTATTGAAATTTCTTTAACGAGAAACTGTGTTCTATGCAGTCGAAAAAGTCAACCTGTTGTCTTACTTCTAAACCCTTTTTGTACTTAACACTCTAATTTAATTTTAATTGACCTGTTTACTTATCATTGTGATTTATATATTCTCTAACCCTAAATTAGTGAATCACAGTTAATTAGTTTAGTCTTTAAAATATCTGATCCTACGATGTTTATTTACATCAATCAGTTACATGTATACTCAACTATTTGCATTGATTTAACGGTTAATTGTTTATTATCAATTAGATAAGGACCAACCTGTCAATAGTTAGTTATAAATAATGTAGCGTCTAGGACAAGTCTGTATCTAACTCAATTTGTTTTCACAGAGTACTTTAACACAACCAGATGAATAATAAAACATAAAGGTATGTTCATGAAGATATTTTCTAAAAAAACAGACCTCAATGTGAAGAAAACTGTTTAGAAAGACGAAGCAAAGGAATAAAAGTTACAGAACAAATACATTTACTTCATCGCATCACCAATTTCGCGCTGTACAACAACATCTTTTGTTGAGTTACATCTGCATAATATGTAACTGATGTTTTACTCTTTTCAAAACGAAACTACGTTTAATCATTCTTGACCCCCTTGTCTTTGTGTATCATTTTTCATGAGTAAATATTTTCTGTTTAGTAAGTTTGACCGCTGCATCATCTATTTTATTTTCTAATTACCACTACCAATACTACTGCAGATATTCTATGTTAAATACAAAAATGCTTTAGACATTGATGACAAATTCAGTAAACCCTTATTTACTTTATATATATTTGACGAGATCATTTTTCACTAAACATGTATCTGTCAGATATATACATATACTGAATTGTAGATACATATTGTTGTCGTGAAAATCAACACAATTATTAATTAGTCTGATTATATTAGTAGTATACATGTTTCTATTTATTTATTTGTTTACTTATTTGAATACACATACATGTATCTATGTTCTAGACTTGTAATTCTGACCTGTTCACCAGTTATAACTTGAATATTAATTTCTTTTTGTGTTTATCATACATTTACAGTTTTAATCTCAATAGCGTAGTAGTTGCTGCTATGTTTTCTCTTTGTCTTCCACTTTAAATTACATCTGAGATAGAGTCAGTGTTCGCATGTAACCTACACTATTATTATTATTATTATTATTAGCGAAATGAATTAATCGGTGATAAACTCATTTAAGCTACTAAAATTTCAATTTTTAATGGTAGTAATAAAATTTATTTCATCTACTATTTTATCATAACTAATTTAAGTAGTATCGCTAGTTCCTATATGTCAACAATCAATAGGATTCTATACGAAGTCTTCCAGTTACGGAATCTTAGTGAGATAAGTAGATAATTGTATATATATATATATATATATATATATATATATATCATGCTTATTAGTGTGAGTTAAATGTTTCGGAACCTAAATTATTGCACAGATAGTTTTGTAATCTCATTAACTAGATGGTTGGAAAATCACTGAGTAGTACAAATACAAATACTTAAAACAAACTTTATTTTACTGTAGGCACATTTGATTCAACATAATTTCACAAAAAATAATTTGTTTTGATTTGGATGAATTCTGTTAACTATTTTTCATATGTTAAAAAATACTTACTATTATTCATTCATATATTTTAATGATATTCAGATCCAGAAACTCAATCAGAAATCGATATTTCTAATATTCCTTGTCGAGTGTGTGGCGGTAGATCGTCTGGATTTCATTTTGGTGCATTAACATGTGAAGGATGTAAAGTAAGCTTTCGTTTGTTCACTTATTTGTTTTTCAGGAAGTTTATTTATTTGTCATTTTTAATCTTATAGCTCGTTGCTTTCAGCTTAGTACTCAAATTAAAAGAATTCAATCAGTATTAGAAAGTGAACAAGTGACTATTCCTGAAGGAAGTTAGACTCTATTCAATTGTGTCCATAATCACGTTTTAACTGTAACACTGAATGGTATGGTCTCAAATTTCATAGGTAGCACCAGTTCCATGGAGATTTTTTAAAACTCCCCCATCATATACCCCTTTACTGTTAACTGTACAACTTCTCCATCGGACCTTAGTTTTCTGCTTTTAGTCTTACCTGTTTTCCAATCTGCTTGTGTAACATAGTAAAACCTGAAGGAGTAGTGTACACGATGTTTGGAAACAGCATTCATTGTTCTATTCAATCTATGATCGATCGTAAAAACAATTTTTTTCATAATTAATCATATTCATTTATTAGCATAAATGAATTATTCAAACAATCGTATATTATCACACCTTACTAATATAATTCAAGGCTTTGTGTATAACTGTAAACAAAGTTATATTAAGGGGAGCTTTTGCTTTTTTTGACTTATTCAACTAATAATGACTAATCTTGGTATATATGTTATCATAATCAGATGAATACTTTTCATTCATGGGATGAAGACATTTTTTTCGTAATGTATTTGTTAATAATAATATCCAACAAAATATGAAACATTCAACTTTGGTTTAGTATAATTAACTATTGTTTTATCCCATATCGCATATGATGATCATTTCTGATCTGTACTATTATTATGTTGTTTATTCAACCCAATTAACAAATCAAACCAGATCTAGTGATGCGAATATTGAAGTCCTACTCACTGCTTTCTCGTGGCAGGGGTGTTGTTTACGAAACTGAGAGGACGAAAAGCGAATGTCCGGCGCTTTAACCGGATCCCAAACCAAATCAATGGTGCACATGGGCTCAAGTATCCTGAGGGAACAAATGGCGTATGAACCAAATGTTGGTCACCGGCTACCATGGGACTGCATCTCCCTACGATGCCCCACTACCTTGTGGATCAGACATTCAGGTCGAAGGCTCAGGGTGTGGCCCCCTACGAAAACCATCTGCTTTGGTTTGGGCACCCGGGCAGTATCACAGCCCACACACAAATGATCAACTGTCTATAATTATGGAAATTATGGAATATTGAAGTTGTTTTTTTCTTTCTTGATCCACATACCAACTTCATCATCATTGTCATCGTCCATTGTACTATATATATGCATAGATGGAACTTCATTCTAATCATCTTGGCACCAATACACACTTATTGTAATTTGTGATTAACTTTCAGTTGAATTTTTTTTCTTTTTTAATTCTTCAAGATTTTCTTTTTTTGGTATTTTTTGTTGTTGGTCGTCAGAAAAAGAAAAGGAATTGATTTCAATTGATAAATTGATTTTTTTATACAATATTATTATGTTCCAAAAGTTGGGGCAATGTTTTTCATAGTAACTTATACACTTTTACACACCTGCACACACACACAAACATGCAAATAAGTGGAGAATAAACAACACAGTCATTAGTCTATTATATATTTTTCTTATTTCACTGACTTATAACACAACATTTTTGTCTGAAAATGTAAATAAATTCATTGCAGAAAGAACGAGATAGATAGAGAGGTAAAGAGAGGGAGAGAGAGAAAGAAGGAGAAAAGAGACATTGATTACATTACACTTTTTTTCCAACTATTAATAATATTTTACTTATTTCATCGGGATCGATCAATGATCTGAATGTCGAATTGATCACATGTCTATTTAGTTAATTTATAAAAGTTAAAAAGATGGTTTATGTAAAAACATCGTTAAACCATACAAAGTTATTAAACAATTGATTGATCACTACGTCGTGACGTGGTTAATATTTGTTTAGTCCTGTTTGGTTATGATTGAATTCTATGAATCAAATAATATGGCAATTAGTCTAAGTCACTCTATACTTTGGACCGGAGTCAGAAAAGGCTGTCTAATCTCCCTCTTCCTTTTTCTTCCGGTGGTTGACTGGATTATGAAGATCTCGACATCTAAGGAAAAGCACGGAATGCAATGGACAGCTCAGAATCAATTAGACGATTTGGACTTCGCAGATGACCTATCCCTCCTATGTCATACATACGAACAAATGCAGATGTAGACAACTAGTGTAGCAGCAATCTCTGCATCAATAGGCCTCAACATACACAAAGAAAAAGCAAGATCTTTAAATACAACACATAGAACACCAACACAATCACACTTGATGAAGAAACTGCGGAACAGGTGCAAACATTCACGTACTTGGCTGATCAGCAGCATCGGTGAACAAGGAGGATGAAACGCATATGCAAAGACGAGAATTGGCGAATCAAGGATAGCATTCCTACAACTGGGGAACATGTGGGACTCAAAACAATTGTCAGCCGACACAAAAGTCAGAATCTTCAGTACGAACACCAAGACAGTCCTACTGTACGGAGCTGAAACGTGGAGAACTATTATAACCATCATCAAGAAGGTATAAGTATTTATAAACAGTTGTCTGCGAAAGGTACTCAATATCCGTTTACCGAATATCATCAGCAATAGCCTACTGGGGGAGAAGACAGACCAGCTTCCAACTGAAGAGAAAAACTGAAGACATTGGAAGTGGATAGGACATAAATCACAGAAATCACCAAACCGAATCACGAGGCAAGCCGTAAATTGGAATCTTAAAAGGAAGCGTAAAAGAGGAAGGCTAAAGAACACATTACGTCGGGCAATAGAAGTAGATATGAAAAGGATGAATAACAACTGAAAGGAGCTGAAAAGGATTGCCCAGGACAGGGTTAGATGGAGAATGCTGGTGAGAGCAGCCTATGCTCCTCCACGAGGGGAGTAACAGGCGTAAGTAAGTAGTTCTAGGTGGAAGTCGATAGGAAACCTTGAATACCTCCCTGATGAGTGCCAACTAACATCAAACGGTAAGTTCATGTTTACTTATTAAGTATCCACAACTACTTAATAAGTCAACAATTAAAAAAATCAGAAAGACTACTGTATGGTAGAACAATGGTTGGTAGTCTGGCACATATAATGTTTCTGCTATTCCTGCTAAAACTTTGCCTTTTCATATTATCCATTAGTTATTTCTTAATTGATAAAAAATAAGAAGAGGGATTGATTCTGCGACATTAGGTGTTTTATTCATTAGAATCCATTGTGAAGAGATTGCTGTTTCTATATAAGACAATGTATGAATGATGTCACTGTTACCTTCTCCATTTATAATTATCCTGTATCAAAAGTAAATACTGTTGAATATTTTCTTCAATTTATCAAAATATTTTGTCTTCGTTTATTCTAGGGTTTCTTTCGTCGTACGGAAGGATCATCTAATTCATTAGTTTGTGTAGGTGGTCAAAATGCTTGCACTATAACACCTCGAAGTAGAAATGCTTGTAAAAGTTGTCGTTTTCGTCGATGTTTAGCAGCAGGAATGTCTAAAAAAGGTAGGAGATCTTGTTGAATTGATTCACTTTTATTTTCAGTATACTTGATTGTATGTTCACTTATGAAATATATTAATGAGTGGAAAAATATAGTTTGAGAGATTTTTATACTATATAATTAAATTCCTATCCTTTTTAGTCTTCATTTCACTAATTCACTTGTCAGTTTTTTTAAGCTGTACAGAATGAAAAGTAAAACATTTAACGCCTCATAGTTAAACGAACAAGCGATCTATTGGCAAACGTAAATTACTTACTAGACAGTTGTTCCATATCTTTTTGTATATGGAGACAACACTTCAGTTGTGTGCACTTATAACCCTACAGTGTATTGAACTGGAACTGTCACTACTTATTTTGAGCACTATCATCCTAACCATCTGCAATTATAGATTATCTCATGGACATCACCAAATAGGAAGTCATCTACATATTAATAATGATAATAATCCTTTTATTCCATATGTTTGATCACATTGAAGAATTGTCAGCATAGATAATACAAAATTGCTGTTTTATAAACATATTCAAATTTTTTAAATAAGATTCACATCTTAAGGAGTGATTATCTGTCATTCATTTTTATCCATGAACGTTTACGACCATCAGTTCTGCTCCTGTGACATAGATTTTTTAATCCTGGAATATATATGATGTATGAATTCTATGAACTTCTGTTACTCGATGATTGTATATCTTGAGTTCTAGATATGTTGCTAACATTTTATGAAAAGGGTGAGGTTAGATGCATGCTGTTAGCAGATGTAATTAGTTATTCAAAATAAATTTATATTGGGAATAAAATCACTTTTAAAAAAATAATGTTCCAGAAGTTTGAACATCACGTCATGGATTCACACCCTGTTTTTATTGAACAAAATTAATACAGATTTAATCAATTTGCTTGTTCGATGTTTTTTTCTCAAGACAAATAGTAATTATATGCTTCAGTGGTTTGTAAAACCTACGATTTCCGTGATTTATCACACGAACTAGGTACACATTTTTCTCAATGTCATCTTATTCAAACAGTTATTTTTCAACTATAAGATTTATTTAGATATATGTTTTGTGATTGAAATCTCAATTTTGTTGTTTGTTTTCTCCGACAAATTAGTAAATAACAACCTTGAATCTCATCCACTTAAGCGTTTGTAAATATTTGTCTAGCATCATATAGTCTATACCTCATGTATTATATTCATCATTGAATTCTTCATAAATTCGACGATCAACCTTGACCCACTACGATCATTTATATTTTGTATGTTGTCTTTGTTTGTACTTAAACATCTATACTGAGGAACATGAACAAATTCTGTACTCCCTATATTGTATGTTATGATATTTGAATTTTGTGTGTGCAGATGTGTGTTGTTTTGATTATCGATTATGCTTACCGAAATTGTTGTCTTTCGGTTTTTTTCTGTGTTCTGTATGTGTATTTTTTCCTCTGTTTTACTTAGTAATGATAAACACTATGTACATCCCTCTCTTTTGATTGTACTATGCACCTACATACAATGTAGATGATTGTGTTAGCCACCTTACTTATCTTGCAAGTCTCATAAGTTCTGATGATTTGATTGTCGACAAAATATCAGCACACTCTAAAAGTTCGTTTCGTTTGTACCGAATTTCACTACCTGTAGTGCGTGAAGGATATCTGTTTGTTTATCAAAGATGGAGTATCTAGGACAGCAGTTCACTTCACTTTGTGTGTTTAAAATGCAACCTTTGAAGGTAGAATGTATTTGTATTATTTGATCACAGATACTTTTAAAGCATGACTTGTTGTAGAAACATTGAGTGGACAATGCTGAGGCTACAAGGTTAAAAAGGACGACACAATTAATGGGACTATGAATTTTCATCGACTGAGAGGTATTTTCCATATATCTAAGCACTGTCTGCTTCAATTCATAATACAGGCTGGAATAAAAATACAGTTGAGGATGATTAAGCTAAGATGTGTAGCACCAGTCCATAAAGTCATTGACCATAAGTCTGAGTATGTTGTCAGGTATAAACTACTTAGTTGTAAATTTGTATTATAATCATGATCAGTAGTTGTATACTTTAGGTGACGTGTTTCAAAATCAATCACAGTAGTTAGTTGTATTGGATAATCATCTCTCAGCTCAGCACTACTTTCTGTTATAAGGTCCTAGACATTTCACAAGGGAAGTGATGTCCAACCATATTAAGCATCTCGTAATTGAAGCCAATAATGATCCTGTTTTTCACTTCAAATAAACATCATCTCACCTGGCGATTAACATATCTTGTTGCCTCAGTAATACTAACCACATTTGTTGCATGAAAGTCAACGGTACTATCTATCTGCTCAAATCAAGGTAGGTAGAGCACGGTATTCTAACATGTGATTATAGAAAATGAAATCTAGAATATCATTATTCATATTTACTACTTGATATTACTGTATCTGTCTTGCCCGCATACTTGTAATTAAGTGATTGACATTTGTGAAATTATTCCATACTTCAATTACATTATTAAAAATGTATAAACAACTAAATTATCATTACATCTGGTACTATTTTTATTGAATATATATAATTTGTTACCGTTATTATTTATTAAATTCTAGGTAGCCGAATTGGTCGTCAACCGAATGCAGTCAAATTTCATTGTGCCATTGAAATTAAACAACTACAGGCTATTCGTGGTAATTCATCCAGTTCAACCGGTGGATTATCACCAAGTCAAAGTTCCACAGGTTGTCCTCCATATAGTCAATATAATCTTAGTGGAGTCGGTGGAATTAGGAGTGGTAGTAGTGATGCATTAACTTCGTCCATAAATCATTATCGACATATAAGTCGAAGTGATAATGATAATAATTGTGATAAGATGAGTCCTAATTACAGTTCAACTGCAATAAATCCGATAAATTCTTCATTGAAACAAGACAATTTATTAATTTCGAATGATTGTAAGCCAACACAACCACCCTTATCTTTATTATTCTTCTTACCGCCGAATTCCATGTCAAATCATCATCAACTAACAACATTAAATGATTCAAAGTGTGCGCAATTATCGTCTGCTTGTTATTCAAATAATCATGATAGTGTTGAACAGGATGATGTTGATAATGATGATAATGACGGCGATGATGATGATATTGATGATGATGATGAAATGCAATCAATTAAATCTGATTACAATCTAGAATCTGATACATCTTCTCTATCGACTAATTTGAAATTGCAAATGTATAAACATATGCATATGGTTAGTTGTTAAATGACCCTACTGTTGTATATGTATGTGGTAGTATTAGCAGTAGGTTCATTAAATCTAGGAAAATAATCTATAATCGATGGGTGGTTCCATGTTTGCATCTGACCAATTTAATGTTTCCTTAGTTTTATGATATGAGTACATTTTATTTAATTTTTTACGGATCAAGCAACGAATTGATTACTTTTGAGCTAATTGAAATATTTTCAACTCTATTATGGGGAACATTTGAAGCTGTTGTCTTGTCTTAGTAAAGTAATTCAAAATAGGTTCGTTTTCATTCTCGTTTTGGACGAGATTATCAGTGGTGCACTAGATCAAATAAAAATGAACAACTTCGATTTTTTGTAACTTTACCAAATCAGTTCATCTAGATAACTCTGTGTAAATGATCTATTGTCTTCACAAACATTTTCTTGCTTTCATGTTTGTTTACACCTAACAGCTGAATATTGTATTAAATTGACACTTTTTATCGGCAACTGATAAACAGATTAGACTTATATGGACAGGATAATTTCCAGTTTTTGCCAATCTGCATTTCAATAATCTTCAGGTTGATTACAGTCTCTGACGAGAACAATTTGTAGTAGTTAGTGAGACATAATAATTATCATGCCAACCTGGATACCAATTGGTTGTGATCTCTTGACATGACTTATATCATTACTTCATTACTTTAAGTCAACAGAATCGATGCAATACGACCAATGCTTTTTCAAGTAGAATGGCTAACTTTTTATTCAACTTCTAGCCACAATTTATTATTTTTTTTAAAAACATAAATTGGTTATATCGAGACATTCCACACAGAATACATGTATGCCAACAAAAGTTGATTGAAATTCAGTCCGGAATATCAACAGCGGGATCATTCAAAGTCTCGCTAGTAATGATGTAAACACCGTATCCAATTAACTAGTCAATGTTTGCATGGACTCTGTGGATAATTCGGTGTTTGAAGTGAAATAAACTGGATTCGAGTTCCTATGTGGACGAGAATACTGCTGATAAATCCCAAGTAGGACGAAGTGTGCTTACAAATTTCACTTTTAGCCACAATCTATCTATTTTAACAAACAATATGGTTTTATCTGTCTCGCGGTTATTATTACAAACTAAACAATAAATTATGTAAAGCTTGATGTTTATTTTTTAAAAGTATAACGTTGAATAAACAATAATTTGACCAAGTTTTACTTTAAACTAACAATAATAATAATAGTAAAACAGTATTCAGATTTCCATACCCACCTATTCAACTGGAAGGATAGTTAAAGTCATGATAAATTAAGAGATTACATATTATGTCTTCGATACAACACCTGTCAATGCATATTTCAGTTTGAAATAGTACATGAATGAACCCGAAATTAAATCATTTAATGTTATAAATAAGCAAGTGTTTAAGAAACTTGCAACTTCGTGGATATTTTACAGATTGTTGTTGTTATTTGCATTTTTACTATCTGATTATTAAATGGTTGAACTATTGTGATTTTACATTCCACTTTTTTGTAAGTTTATGTTGAACTTGCTAACCATTGTTATACTACTAATCAATTATTTATAATTTACCTTGTTCACTGGTAATTTTCTCTTGTTTATATATAAGCTCTGTTTTTTTCTTTACGCTGTGATTTTATCCTATATACTTGTATATAAGCGCATATAGTGCTAGAAGCTTGCCTAGTATGTGTTCTCTTATTTGCAATTAAGACTGGCGAACGAAGACGTTTATATCGATAGGACAACCAGAGCTAAGATTATCCCACCCCAACTTAAGATTAACCTTGATAGTAGAAGCCTATGATTGTTCAAGGTTTACGACTCTAGGTTATGAACAAAATATTATACACGAGATAGAGAAGTTATAACCGAGATTCTGATTGACGTCTCAATCATAACATCTAGTTTTAAAAGTTCTTGTTATATACAATAATTAGCATGGAAGAAAGGTTTCTGAAGATTGTTATCCTGAGTTCACTGAAGCTCAATATGCGAACCACTGAAGTTTCTGAGCTCATTCTCTCAATATTATGAATACTCGCTGCTGATAAGTCTCACGCTAGGACGATACAGCTATCGAATGCTTTCTTATATTCAATGGTGTTCTAACCAACCAATCCTTAAAGTAAGCTGCATGTAGAACAATTGCTTTTGTTTCTTTAAGAAATATGTCAATCGAATAACATCCAGTCTTGTATAATATGGAATTCGGTATTATCTATTATTACCTTTCAGCGATCATCGCCACTTAACGATTCTTCCCAATTGGTTCGTCATTATTCCAATGGATCATCTAGCGTATATGACGCTTTAGAACGACATGCTTTGGATCGTACCGGTGAATCTATCACATTTAATGATGATCGAAATGACTCACACCCCATATGCAGTAGTTCCAATAACGGTAATGAAGGTAGTATTGATCAAAACTCAGGTTATAAAACAGTCAAATCTATTCCGCTGCATCAATCACCTATTTCAGAACCATCATCGGCTACATTTTGTGCATCTCGTTTGCTTAATAATAAAAAATTATTATCATTTTATTCTCAGGAACATCAATTACAATCATTATCATCTCAATCCAGTATCCATTGTTCTCTGTCATCTACCTCTCCTACTCCTACTACTACTTCCTTGTGTTCTTCTCAACGTTCCTCTTCACCTTTTTCACTAATCTCTTCAAATCTGTCTCAGGTTCAAACATGTACATCCACTATACTGAATTCAGATAATGAGCGTGTTAATAAGGTGAAATTATCTACCTCCAGCTTTTCAAACTCAACTATCAATACTACTGCATGTAATAGTACTACTACTACTCCTACACTGACAACCGTTAATACAAATATATCATCAAACACAACAGTGGCAAATAATACAACTGCTAATCGTCACAATTTCATAAGTTTCGATGATCCGTCATTTTGGGAAGACGTAGAAGATACTTTACCATCAATCAATGTAACTTCTGAAGCTGTTTCACAATTCACTGATGGCATGCGTACAGCTACTGAATTTCTACGATTACCAAATGCAGTAAGTTTTTTTAAAGAGAATAATGCTATTCTATGGCAGTTACATACATTGTAAATTATTGCACATACTCAGGCTATGATATAGTAGTTAAAGTATTCAACTTCCAATCCGTAAGTTTCAATTCTAAACGTGCTTCTTAGTCCACTTCAATTTGAACAGATGAACGGGGTCATCAGGCCTTATACAAATGAAGTAGCTGAATGCTAATTAGATAAATCTCTATATTCGGTAAATGACTTACGTAACATAACATGTTTCTATTTGTTAATTTTGTTTCCTGAAGTGGTAATTCATCCAAGAACCCAGTCACAAAGTGTAAAATGAATGAATTCTAAAGATAAGAACCACTAACGCTACCTGCTGGATAGATAATATTAGGATATTAAAAGTTTCCCATGTATAAAACAGCCAATCTATGGTATAAATAACTAATCACTATTTAAATGAAAGTCACAAATCAATCAATGATCCTTTACATCTGTCCGTTATACCACTCATGGTAACTGAACTTTGTGTAGAGTAAACCAATAATTTTAGAATATATACCGCTTAATCATTCGGTTCATAAATTCAACGATCATTTTATGGTAGCGTCGATAATAACATTTACAAAACAGGTTGTATCTCATAACTTTGTGAATAATGACCTTGTGTGTGTACGTTTCGAATTGCCAATCAGAAGTGTACTTCTTTACTGATTGAATCGTTTCAACTTCTGATCGTCGAATTACAACAGCGAACCCTGTTCTATCTGCGTGTTCAGTTCCTACAACCATCTTTTATTTCCAGTTAAAACAGATGGAATATCTTCAGTACGAAGTAGTGTCAAATGAGAAGCCATTCCAATCTAGAAAACATTGGTTAACTGTTTCATTTTTGTTTGGAATCCATTGGGATTCACCAACACCTGATTTCCTAGACACAATAGGTATTAAGACCTTTTAATTTTTACAGTGAGGACTATACCTTTAGATCATCTAATGATGGAAAGTTTTGTGGTTTAAATCACAAACTGGCCTTAATTATACAACCATTTAAAACTGGAAAGCATTAGACAGTCACTTCGTCGTAATGATGAACCCCTCAATAGTGCAAGTTCATGACCCCACCGGGGATCAGAAATAGGATATTCATGTCTCACGACAGACACTCAACCTTTAGACTCTTGAGTCAGGATCCGATGGGTTACATTTTAAACTTAAGTCAATTTACGATATTGTGAAACCATCTTCCATTGCCATTGTTAAGTAAGTTACACCTGACATAACTGAACTCCAAGAACCGCTTCTCGACATTAGTCACTAGTACCTATTATTAATTATTAATTACTAGTTATTATTATTCATATGAAGAATTTGTGAAGATTGTTGAGTTTCATAATATACATCACGAACTGACCGTAGACATACAGTAATGATCTAACCTGACGTATTTTTATACACAAACCTTTACCCGTACTATTCAACATTATTTGTTTATTCAGACTAAATATTCTTACTTAAGTCTTTCCATAAAATTTGTTCTATTCACTTAAAATTTGAGCGTCCGAATATTAGTGTCATCAACCAAGTACATAATAGCTGATCGTACGTGATAACTGTGTTACATTCATACAGTGAAACTAACTAATATAGTGACTTAAGATTATTGAATCTATGATTCATTGTTAACAAAGTAGCTGTGTACGTATCGACAGATATTTATTAGTTTCACATAAACTTTCTTTACGTTTGCATCATATACGCGCACTAACAGCTGAAAAATAATCGTATTGTGTATTTTGTGTCTAGTTTTCAGACTTTTGACCTGATTTCTAAACTAGATAGTAACATGCTTCGTTATTGAACTTATTCCTATTACAAGAATACTAGAATATCATTTAAAGTCACGGTGACCAATGCGTTTTCCTCTGTGAAATGATAACTTCATTCACTGTCTCAGTCATCATCAATGGAGGGCTTGACAAGGATGGATGTCGTTCCAACTTACCACACCTTATAAAGAAAAATGATATTAAACTTAATTAAAATCATTAACCGATCCAAGTTAGACCACCATTAGAAACCAAGAAGCAGCAGATGGCTTTTTCGTCCTAGCATAGGTTTCTTCGGCAGTGCGCATCTACGATTCCGCACTCAGGACTCAAACCCAGAACCGTCTGTTTCAGGCGCTAACGCTTAACCTCCAGACCACTCAATTGGCACTCATCGGTGTTAATGTCCAACCCCAATCGATCCATTACGTTTTATGACCATCTCCCATTGTTTCCCGTGGGAAACTACCTCACGCCAGATGTCGATTAGCTCCGACGGTCACAACTTCTCATTAGAACTCCATGCTTTCCCTCAAATGTGGAGGTATTCATAATCCAGTCAACCTTCAAAAGAAAAAGGAAGGGAGAGAGTAGGCAGCCTTGTTCGACTCCGGTTCGCACTTGAAATGGATCTGTCGGCTGTCCTCTATGCACGACTTTACAGTGTAGTCCGTTGTATGAATTCCGTGTGATTTTGACGATCTTCTCAGGTATACCATAGTGTCAAAGAAGTTTCTATAAGATTCGCTTGTCCATACTGTCAAACGCCTTCTCATAGTCAAGGAAGTTGATGTATAATGATGACTTCCGCTCAACTGACTGTTCGACGACAACCCGTAGTGTCGCAATTTATTTTGTGCACGACCGATCCTTAAGGAATCCAGTCTGTTGATCTCATAGCTGAGCATCTACTGAATCTCTCATCCGGTTAATCAACAATCTGTTGAAAACTGTTCGTGGTACTAATAGTAGTATGATGCCTCTGTAGTTCTCACACTCACTCAAATTTCACCTCATCTCCAGTCTGCCGACACCTGTTCTTCCTCCCAAATCTTCCTGAAGAGAACGTGGAGCGTGTTTGCAATTACTTCCATGTTTGATTTCAAAGCTTCAACTGGTGTTTAGTGTTTTGCTGATTTCTTCGATCGTTGGTGGAAGGTTTGTGTGTGCTCTTCCGATATCCGTTAGGTTCAATGGGGTTGGTCTGTTTGAGAGTTCTTCAAAGTTTTCAACCAACCTGTTCCATTGTTCTTGAATCTCGGCGATTTAAATAGTGATAGAAAATAAATGCAATTGTCGAAAGTTTTAGATGTGAGAGTGGTGATCACTTTTAGATTCCCCCACCTTGCAAGTTTAATTTTTCTTAAGGCATTTGAGGTAAAACTGGATTAAGAGTAGTTTTACGACCTGTGATCGTAACCGCAATGCTCACAAAACAACTCTTTGAAGGCTGACGACATACAGACTATTTGTAAGTAGATTTAACTGTGTTAGCTACAACAAACCCAAGGTCCGAGGGCGAAGTCGTACTGTTGAATGTACATAGGTGTGACGGCAGTAAGGTGTTTCCTTCAGACGATCAGCATAACAGCGATGCTGCCTTCCCACTAAGAAGGACAGCGTTATTAATGACCAACCCTAAAATTGCACACCTCGTCTTATCCCACAAATTTCCGTCTCCCGTTGTAAGGTCTCAACAAGTACGGAGCTAACACGGAAATTACTCACAAAAAGGTTGTGTGACCGACCTCAAACAGTTGTCCCTTGGGCACGCTCTCAGTTACTAAAAACACCTCTAACCCAATTTCGTTTTCACATACCTCTAGAAGAACCCTTCCACTGTGTGAGCAACTGGAAAGTGATTACCACCATCATACCTCTAACAGCACTCAAGATCACTGTATTCATAATCAATTACCTTTAATTCCTAATATTCCTCCTACCTCAACTTTCAACTCTAAACTTCCTCTTTAGACTTCCCTCTCAAGTATCACCATAGTCAACGATTCTAGTGCGCGAAATGCTATCTTAGGTCTACTGAAACTTCTTTCCAAACTACTCATTAGAGCCTTCAACGTTATATTTTATATTACTTTTTATCTATATCATGAACTGAAATTAAGTGGAGAACTATCGAAAACCAAAAAACTACAACATTGGGTACATGTTTTCTTGCTATACTCAGATTCCTAAGGAGTATATATCAGAGTAAGTAATAGTGAGGTTAGATGCAGGGCATTAGGGAGTGATGGTAAATCATTTGATGAGGTTGTGAATCTTCATTAACTGAGATGGTTGTGCCACGTGTTACGTATGCTTGCACACCGATTACCACAACGCGCAATACTGACTAGTGTTGGGGATGATTGGAAGAAAGTTAGGAGCGGCCAAACCAAAACGTGGCATCAGTCCTTGAACTCACTAACTTCTAGTCTGAGCCATGTGGTAGATGCAGACTACTTGGTTGGGGTGCACTTGACTATCGTAAACAATGGTTGGAGACTCTTGGTGACATGGCTTAGAATCCATCACAGAGGCGTAGGTGTATACACTCATTGTCTTCCCTTTAACTATGAGATTAAAACTGCTTTATACCTTTCTTTCTACGAACTAATTCTTTCTTCCTGTATTATACCCTTATACACAATCTTTCTTTGATACATTATTACCATTGAAGTGACTATTTTTATTAATTTGGTGTTTGTCTTGTTGTGCTAATGAAGTGTAGGGACTTGTATCGATGCATATTTGTGTCTGTTTCTACGTTGTAGCTGACTGACTGATTGAGTAATAGTACTATCGTTAATATCAGTGAAATTTTTTTTCAATTTTTAATAAATTATAAACGGTTGATATTTATGATTAGAATACATTTTCTATCCGTTCATTTCTTTTTTGTTTGTTTATATTTCTGTTTTCCTCTAAAAACATTCAAATTCAAGTACTTTAAAACACGTTTCCGTATGACATCGATACCACTAGAGCATCAAGATAATATTAATCAAGTATGGGGTCATATGATGAATCATTTTCATATGCACGCTCAACAGGTTGTACAATTCGCTAAACTTGTACCCGGTAAGAGTTGGTAATACCCAATTAACATTTTGTAATGATGTGTGCCCTGTTGTTTATTTGCTTTTAATACGCTTTTTCCGTTGTTCTTGATTCCTTTCTCACTAAAGAGAAGTAAGTGAAAAATTGAGCTCAATAGTAATGAATAGGTAATAATCATATTACTTTACTTTAGCAAACATCATTAACTAAATTAGTGTGACTCATTTTATCAAGTAAAGATTTGTGCCCGACTGTACTGACATTGTTTGTATGCGGATTAAAGTTCCATTATAAAAACACATAAACATTAGTACAAGGAGGCAACAAATATATACGCGACACACTTCACCATTCGGTTTGTGTGAGGGCTGGAATGCTCTCCGGTCGCCGTAACCGAGCCTTCGACCCAGAATTTTAATCCACAAGGCAGTGGAGCAACGTTAGTAGATGCAGTCCCATCGTACTCCATTTGTTCCTTCAGGATCCTGGAGCCTGTGTGTGCAACATCGATATGGAATCAGTTTTCCAACTCCCCTAGCTCGATCCTCCATATCCGCCCGGTTACCCTAAATGTACAACCTATTGGTTAAAAACCAAGCGGCTTAACCACTAAGCCGCCACTTCTAGTCAGTATTTCAATGTCGGTATAACATAGAGACCAGTATAATTGCGTCAGCGTGGGATCACATTCTTTTATTTAGTTAAAATTGCGTGCTGTTCTACTGTATTGTAAAAACGTAGAAAAAACCGAGACTGTGGGTAATCTATAAACCAAGTACTGTTCCTAGATGATAGGCTCAGTGATTGTAAAATGATTGTATTAGATATGTGATGATTTTTAGACTTGGGAATTAAATCAACCGATCATTTCTGGATTACTCGTCATAAACGGTGATGTTGGGTACGTCATGCACTACAAAGGTTTTGTGGTGCTGATAGATGGCTTTCACCTATAACACCCAGCAATAATGGTACCCGATTTTATGGTTCATAATTCGATTATCGCGCCAGACCGCTCGTTTCTCATTCCTTACGACTTGTCCACATATAGTATAAGTAGATGTGCAATATGGTCCTAGTTCAGTGTCAAGATACCGGTAGTGTCGTGTTGTTTGGCCTAGCTCGGGGAACACAACACAAAAAGGATTCGTTTAAGCGGCAATCTTCTCTATCAATCCAAATAATTGAATACTTTGGTATCATATATATCCACCATATCCTAGGACTTAGGAGAGTAAGACACTTAACTAGTATTAATGATTGGTTGGTTGGTAGGATGAAAAGGTCAGGCATACGTGATCAATAAAAGTTTCTTGATAGAGTATACAATAACATACCTATTGTGTGAATGTAAATCTCTTATTGTTGTTTGTTTGTTTGTTAGTTGTTTATTTCATATTGATTCTAATTTCTACTACCCTGTCTGGATATTTGTCCAACAGATAGATTAAAGCAAACTTTAATCAATTAATCAATACATATACATGCAGATTGATACGAGTACAACGACGAAATTACTCTCTGTTTTCTCATTTTCTCTGTTTTATGATGTGATGTGGTGTGCCTTCTCTTTGTTGATGCGGCACTTACTGCCTAGTTTTTTAAACTGTCCAGCTATAATAATAGTCATACATTAACCAGTGTTCATTTTTAGTTATTGTCATTATATCAATCATATTGTGATTATTAGTTATGTCATGCATCAGCTAACAACTTGATCATAAGTTATTATAAACAATGAAGTTAGGTAACCGTAATAAAGCTGAGATATTTCAACTGTTGTGGACAAATTTTAAGAAAAACCCATTGAAAATTCATTTATTTCGAAGTATGGAGGGGAAACAGTTATATTATGTAATATTTTCGTTCGGTAAAATGATTCGCTTTTGCTCTTTAAAATCCTTTCTTTTTCTAAACATTAATTATCCTTGAAAATGTTATGCTTTGTGTATATCTAGCACGGTGGATATAAAATTTGATGATGTAACTTATTTACTATTCATAAATTTGTATATTCAACTTTGAGACAAACTTTATGTGTGACGGTTAGTGGTACTATCCTTCTGCCAAACTAAAAGTAGACGAAGTGACACTAGGATTTTCTATTTAGTAGCTGAACGTTGAACACCTCATAACTGCTCCTCGGAAAGTAACAAGATGAAAACCAAAAAATCAGGATATTCACTGTAGTATCAATGATAAAGAATATGGTTTGAAAGGGAACACGTTAACTCATGGCATAAAAAGGAAGAAATAATATTCAAGGTGAAAATCTCGGCGAAGGCAATGAATAAATATGTATTTATTGATTTTGAGCACTATCAACACAACCACCACGGATAGAGATTATCTCATTGATATCATCAACTAGGAAGTCGTCTACATAGTGATAATAATAATAATAATAATCGTTTTACTCCATATCATATTTTTGATGACATCAAAGAATTGTTGGTGCAAATTATACAGATTTGTGGGATGAAACGGGGGATAAGCACTGCTGTTAACAGATACATTTAGTTACTATAAATGTATATTTGAAAAATTTATGGGAATAAAATCACGTTTTGAAAAATAGTGTCCCAGAGGTTCGGTCAGGAGAACATTAGAATGCGATCTTCTGATATCATTCACTTTGATAACCATTAACTCTATGAATGAATAGTTTATCTTCGTTTTATAACTTCCAGTGATTTTGTTACCGTCTATGTAAATCCTAGCTCCCGATGTGTATCACAATAAGGTGTTAACTTGATCATATATGGTACTGTTATTCAAAATCATTGACCTTCCTTCTGTTCTCAAATACCTTTTTGAGTTTTGATTGCTTATAAAGTGTTTATTTAATGAAGAGTACTGGCTAGATTAGTGCTTTTCTTTACACTAATCTTTTTTGTTGTTTTCAATATACTGATCTCTCAAATATCAGTTTATTGAACTGGTCAATACTCATTCTTCTTTTGTTTTGTATTTCATGCAATCAAACCGGATACATAGTCTACTGCATCACACACACATCAACGAACAAATCAAATTTTCGTACTAACTCATAGTACTATTCACTTTTCTTTGATCCTTAATTTTTAATTTACAAATGTTAATCAGTTGGAATCGTCTCATTGTATAATCATATGTGTAATATTGATGATTTACTGAAAGTGGTGAATTATGTCAGTCAAAAGCATTCCAATAAAAACACTCACATACCTTCGCTTATAATTAAGTTATCATATATTCTTCAGTTTATTCAAATAAAGAAACGCTAACAACAATGACTACATCAGAGGGACTTAAGCTCACTGATCATCAATTTAATCTGATATACTTCATATCCTGATTATCGAGAGTAAATCAATAATGTACAGAATTAACATTCATGATGATATACCATTACCATAGATTGTCCCTCAAATACCTCGTCATAGTTTAAAGCAATAGACAGTGAATTTCACTAAATAATAATAAGATGCAGTCAGATTTTAACATTTCAACATTTTGGTATCAAAATAGACGTTGATAAAGACAGAAGTTTGTTTGTGATTAACTTACCAGGGTACTGCTCTGACTGTTGTTTAAGTAGGCTAAATTTTGCACTTGTTATTTTTCTGTAAACTCAGTGTTTAGTCCCATCCAATTTCATCGCTAAAAATTTTTATTGATTGCCTTTTTATCTCTTATTCTGTCCTTCTATGCACAGGTTTCAATCAATTAGGCATAACAGCTAGAAGCAATCTAGTTCGCGAAGCTATGTACTCAGTCCTATTGCTGCTTCTTAGTCGTGATTATTGTCCAGAAACTGATGAATATAATTATTTTGATTTTCCAGCAAAAGAACGTGAAGTGATCATGCGACATTTCCCGACATTTAAACGTATTACAGAGCATTTACGTGTTTCCGGACGAATAATGCATCATTTAAATTTGAGTCTACCGGAATTGTCGTTATCATGTGCTGCAGAAATATTGCGAAGTAAACAATTCACTAATTTTTTTTTACTCTCCACACAATAAATTCCTCTTTCACCTAGTTATATTTTTATTCGAATATTAGATTTTTCTTCACTGTTCACATTTTTGATCATGGTATTGTAAACCAATGGTCGTATAATAAATCATTCTTATCCTCAACAGCTAAATGTCTGAGATCGTAAAACTGGGATACGCGAGTTTAAATCTCGCATGGAGCATAAACTTTCTCAGGATTACAGATTACACCTTATTGATGAGTGCTAGCTAGTACAAAACCGAGGCCCAGGGTTTCTTGTTGACTACTTCCAACTACCTGACACAAAATGATAACTTTGATCATCAGTGGTTTAAGGATTATTTGCATCGGCATAGCGTCTTGAAGAAAAGATAGACTTGTGCAAATGTGTTAAATCGTTAAGTAACATGCAAATTAGGATATATTTTATTATCATGTAATGGGAACCATTTTTTCACAAATTACAAATTAAAATAATAACCCGTTGCTTATTATGACATAATAGCTCTGAGTTGTTATTATCGTTATTTTTTTCTTATACGAAATCAGTAATTTATTCTGTAGATAGTATTTTTGCAAAGAAGGTATGCATCATTACGATTATAAATCAAGTGTTTATCATCATTGAAAATCAATAAGCCAGTCGGTTCTGCTGTACTATTTGCCTAAAATATCTATGATTATTGATTTTTTCTCAATTTCATAGGGTTGTTGATGGGTCCGAACCAATGGATCCTGCCTGAATTGATTGTTTTCTAAAGATCATAATTGTCACTTTTGATAATTCGGAGGATATTTATACTTAAATCGTTTTCTTGTTTAAAAGTAATTAAATAACACACTGAAATGAATTACTGTCTGTTTATCTATGTACCTCATCCCAGTTTATAAGCCACTTGGAATATTTATTAAATCTAATTTCTTCGAAGTGTTTTAATATAGATACGAGCATTTTTTACTTTCTTTTATAACAGAAAACAAATTCTCACTTTGTACACTTTCTCTATTTCCTTCAACAGATTATTGCATACTTGAAGAGCCTACCGCAAAAAGTACAGCTGAATTATTTGTATTAGCACATCATAGTTTGTTAAATTGCATGGCAAGTAAGTAATTACGTAGGTGAAAGTATTTTTTGGCATTATATCCGTGTGTATATGCATATATATTATTATTATTATTTTGATGCTGTTATTCGAGGCTGCAGTTCAGATATTTAAATTTTTATTAGAAAAAAAAGCGATTGTAAAATCCACCCGTAAACTTGATTCGGATTAAAATTCTTTCCACTGGAACTTATTGTTTTCGATAAGCAGGTTTATATCTCTAGCTTAATGTTTTAACCGCTGTGTGTCTCAGCTTAAATGCTCACCTCACGTAGTTCCGTTTGAACATGCGGCTAAACCTCACACCCATAGCATGAGTTAAAGTCATATACCTACTTTCTCTTTCTCTGGCCTAGTCTTACTGGTTTATTATCAACCTTGCTGATATTGAGATGGTGGAGAAGATTTGTAGCTCAGGTGGATGATTTTGATGGATTTTGTTCTCTGAGCTGGATGATTTGGTCGTGGAGCTTTCATCGTTCTTCTGAACGACATCATCAGCACAAACTTCAGATGACGTCGTTCAGAAGAACGATGAAAGCTCCACGACCAAACCATCCAGCTCAGAGAACAAAACCTTGCTGATATGGTGGCATTTCAAAACATTGACATAGCAGTCAATGTTAGTTAGGAAGTTTTACACAGCATAGAATGGTGGAATGGATATACATTGGTTCAAATAACCATAGTATATGTCAGCACAAACAGAAGAAAATTAAGGGGAACCTAAATGACGATAGTCAATAAGGGTCGTTAAGTTCAAAATAAGTCTAACCAAGGTATAATGAAGTACAGAGTTTTATTTACATTGATATTCATAGAAAATTGGGGAGTAAGTATATTTGTGTACGTACTACAACAGATTTCGAGCTCTATATTGCATAAAATCTGTAATCTAGCCAATCTATCAACACAAAAGTTGTTTGTCAGGTGCCTCTATTTTTTCATTGGTAGACTTGTTGGCCATTATGACAACACAGTACAGTAGACTTCAGCGAATTCGTTGTACCGTAATGTTCATAAGTTGAATCCCAACAAGGATTATATAATTCTCAAACAGAATCTGTCTGGTAATGTTTACTTCCAGTTTACAAACATAAGACTCAACACTTCTTTGCCTAATAATTCAAACAGTCCGTCATAAATGAAATGGAAGATGCATCAATTAAATATACAACACTTTATCAGCAAAACGAGTTGATTGTACAATAGTAATAATAATAATATGGTATTTGGCTTAGTGTATTGTTTAGTACCATATCAAGTCCAAATTGGTTATTCTAGCTTACAGGCTGACCAGTTTATTCATTCTTCTTCAGTCACACTTTGATCTTATCAATTATTCGTTTATTGACCTTATTTGTTTTTATATGAGCGTACATGTGTATTGCTTACCCTATTCGTCACATTGGGCTCAGCACTTTAGTACTCTATTGGTCTGACTCCAATTTCAAAGAACGAATGTATATAAATAAATCCTCCATTTAACTCCATATATTACCTAGGTTAACCTTATTTGTATGGTGGCGGTAATAAAAAGCCAAATACGAGTTGCATTGGATAAAATTATTTCAAGCACTCGTATATCCCGACAGACATTTAGGATAAGAAGCAAAGAAAGCAAATGGGCCAACTCATTTTGATAAAGCGTGACTCAATATTTTGGCTATACAAAAATAAGCTGGAGACATGTGGTGACTAGGATAAGCGATAAACATATACGCTCATACAGAAACAGTCAAGATCAGTAGACGAATAATTGATAAGATCAAAATGTGACTGAAGAAGAATGAATAAACTGGTCTGTCCGTAAGCTAGAATAACCCATTTGGACTTAACATGGTACTAGACATTATAGTAGTAGGATTTAAAACGAACATTATCATGAAATACAGAGTATAGGACAGTATTGGAACTCGGAATGCGGCAAGAGCATGCGTGATAATTACATGTACTCTGGACCACCTGATTCAAATCCGTTTGACAGTCTTAGCATTTCCAATTTTTTAATCTTTCCTCATTAGGCAAAAGTAATAAATCATATTTAATTTTATAAATATTGGAATTGATGTTGCTCTCTCGCTTTATGGCATTCTTCTCTCTCTGCATGACACACAACCTTCATCTGTATAAATGAATGGACTATATTTATCTGTATCTTCATTGCTATATCGTCACACTTTTCAGTTCTATGCATCTAGTGCTGAGTGCTTCTGTACGTTTGTAAGTGTGTGGATGTATGTTTGCGTATGTGTTTGTCGACGATACACACGGTAGGTAGATAGCCAGGCACCGCCGTGATTACAAAATAACATAAAGGAAAACGTCCTAAATCTTGGATATATTGTATTACGCTAAAAAACAATACAATACATGAACAAACTAAACTGTTATAAATTTTCCTACTTTTATTATTACCTCTACTGTTGTGTGCTGATTAAATTTGTTCGTTCATTTGTGTATGTATATGTAGTCGGTTGATTGGTTAACTGCCTGTCTGACCAATTGTATAGTAAATCGCTTGGTTCATTTTATATAAAAAGTTCACTGTATATTTCTTCTGTATATAACTGGCATCTTTCTATCTCTCACAAATCAGCACACAAGTACAAACACTACACCTTTCTTTACAGTTTTATTCATCATTTACTTTTCTTGATGTCAGTGTGGTTTATTTAACAGCACACATTCGTTTTCATCACACATATGGTTAACATGATGAATCAATAAGTAACTGACTGTCACTACAACGTCGACCACTACTACTACTAGAATTACTAATATCAATTTAATATTTTATTATTGTTTCCATTGCTTTCTTAATAGATGGTTAAATATTTATGAAATACTATCAACTAGTTTAGAAAAGAAAATAAGTAGAATCTTTGCAATAAAACTTTAGTACATATATGTGTTTCTGTATGTATATTAGTCTATTGTGATTGTTTAAAATTATTATTTTACGTTTACTTAGGTGTGTTTTGGTCAGTGTTGCTAATGATGAGTTGACACACATTCATATGCTTGTTGATCTTTCTCATTAAGTGAAGTAATTTTAAGTGTTTTTATATTAGCAAGTTTACTTTCATTACAGTTTATTTTCTGGTAAAAGAATACATTGAAAATTAAAGTTATAATTAATATAACTCACCTACTGAATACATATTTATGTACTCATTTTTAACTATTCTTCGCTCGAAACATCTAACGATCTACTAATACTCGGCTGACTAAATCTATGATACACAAATCAAGTTTTGAACCGAATTCATTCGAAATGATGCATCATGCTCATCTTGATATCAGAAGATTCTCATTTCAGTTCAGTATGTATCGGCCGATGTTATTCTTGTTAACAAATATATCTAATGCCTTCTAGTGTTTAAAGTTCTTCAACTATTATCAGTGTGTCATATGAACAGTCTCCTTAATTAGTGCTTAAAGTCAGTATTCAAATAGTTAATAAAATACTTAATTTTTAGTAATTATTTCTTTCACTAGTGATTAATATTTTGTTGTTTTGTATGAAATCACTGATTATTTATCTAAGCCGCGTCAGCTTAGTGAATGAGAACACAAATGGGGACAATCGAATATATTTGAATACAAGACTACAGAACATCTTAGTAAAATCTGAGATCCATACAGTAAATACTTCATTTGCAAAATATCAAACAATCATCTCAAACTTCATTGTTCGTTCGATTTCACACCAATCATTATTGGTTTTTGTTCTCCTTTCTTTGATCTTCTTAACCTTCTGGCTCTAGGCATTTCACTTTATATTGCTGATACATACTACTTATATCTATCATCATCAGTAGCACACACCATATAAGATGTCAGCTTCATTGTTCGTATATTGATAATGTTAGAAATTAATCTCTATCAATATTTAGTGATCTCTTTTAATAGATATCTAGTTATTCCCTGAAATCATATGCCTTTCTTATTCTTTAATGATGGTCACTTGCAGAATTTATAAATCATGTTTCGTTTTATTTGAGATTTATCAACTGTAGACATTTGCATTTCAGTGTTGGCACTTCCATTAAAACTCTAGCCTAGTATCATTGACTTTTATTGTGATTTTATAAGCTAGTAACTGTCAGCAAGATATCGGTACTAATATATACTGTGTTTGACATTCAGTGAGATATTCCAAGAGTATGGTTTATGTACTTCATCGACCTATCAAGTATCAAAAAGTATAAGACGGACTAATTAAATTCCATCCACTACCTTTTATCATTAATTTTGAATGTTTACAATAGCACCACTGTGTCACGATCAATCGATACTCAATCAAATATTCTAAACAATTATCGGTTGTTGATCAGTTTTGAATTATTTTGACTAAATTGTCAATGTCTCAAAGTGCTATTTGTATTTTCTTTTCTAAAACCATAAGATCTGACTGGTTAAATTACTTATGTTTGTCCTTTGATCTATACTCATTCATGTATATTGTGACTAATTTGATAATCAAATGTAAAAAAGCAAGCTAATTGTAAACAGAGATATTTTTATATGGCCTACAGTCATAGGATATTGTCCTCATTCATCCCCACCATAACCGTGGCTATTGTAACTAAAAATGTAAGGTATCTAAGAAAATACCAATCTTAGAAACAAAACAGATTTATAGGATCAGTTGCACAATAATCGATTGGTAGTGGTAAAATTTCTGAAGGAATAATATACAACGCTTACGAGATAGTTTAAAAATGGTCCATATATATGTATCTAACCTCGAATAATTTTTCAACTATTATTCGCTTCCATTATTATGCAAGAAGTTTGATTGTATAGTTTCATTGGCAGAATGATTTTATTTACAATCGTTTTATATTGTAGCTCACTGTATAATTTTCACTTGTTCATTTGATGTTTTATGACCTCTGCAAAATGATGATGAATTAAAAACATTTTTCTGTACTATACTTTGAGTAATGGCTTAATAGTATTTCAAACAGTCAACATCCAATCATCAGGATATATATTTACACTCTACCTGAACTTCAGTTCTGACAGTCAGATAGTATCGCTAGGTTTCACACCTGAAGTATGCATTCCAAAGTCAAACAAACTACGTAGTACTAAGCTGTACTTGGTCCAGTCAGTCATTCAAACACAGATTAACTAAGTTTGGTACACTTGTTTTATCGGTTCGAATTGTCACTTTTAAAATAAGTACAATAAAAAAGGAAATTAACAAAACGGGCCACATAGGAGGTAGAATATAGAGAGTAAAGTTCACAAGAAACACTATTTAAGATTTAAAGAAAGATTGAACTCAACTGCTCCATCATGAACGATTTCAAACCGTGTCCATAGATTCCATTTGTTACATAGGCCTTAACCATGAAGTTTACACTTGTCTATACAGCTCAGAGGAACAGTCAGTTATTTTATGAATCACCTCTGTATCTTGGTTTCGAACATGCCTCCGTAATTATTATGTTTAAATTATCTTATTCTGTACAAATATTTTTATCAAAATTATTTTTAATAAAGATATATTAATCCCAATGAGTAGTCCCTGTATATCATCTTGGCTGATTATTATTATTATTCTACTGTACATTCTCCACTGCACATCTAGTATTTTCTGTTTATTTCATTGTTGTTGGCTTTCTGTTTAATTTTCAAGAGCAATCTGTTCCAACTGTTGCATCAACACAACAAAGACGGACCCAGTTATTCGCTCTTAGGAAAATGATACGAGTAATGGACAAGGAACATCATGAAATTTTAGCAGATTTAAGGGTAATGTTTAGAATTTTTATTTATATGATTAATATCGCTACTGTTATTGAATGGATCACAATTAATCATATTAATTAAGATTATATTATTTTAATTGATATCCATGATGAACTGCCTACTCTACTATCGCAACTGCAAAGCCATTGAAACCATCCTCGTGATGATAACGCCGATTAGTAGTAATAGACATCGGGTTATATAGCTCACAATGTCATATACTCATTCATCTTTTATTTTCCTCTAAAAATCGAGTTACATATCCTTTTATACATAACTTCTCATCCTGTCTTCTTTTAACCATATTCTCAATGTTTATTCTTCCTCATTATCATTGTTACTACAATGATTTCGACTCGTTAACTTTTCACATTGTTAAATTCATTTCATAGCACTGTGTTATGGGAATTTAAGTCAATACATATCTGTCAGACTCTCTACGTTATGATTGAAAATACTAATGAGTTATCTTCCATATGCTGAAATTATATATATGTTAGGATGTTAGATGCCAATGAATCGATCAATATGACAATCCAGCCAATAAAAAATGCCATACTACAATTGCCATCATTATGAATATTATTTGTAGAGATTTCAGTAAACTTTGAAAATAATTTTCGGTGAAAATTAAAACAGTAGCACAACTACTAAACAAGTATTGCATGAATTGATTTCAAATTTAAAGTGTGTAACCACTGGATTCTAACTCTGGTTTAGTCATTAACGTATCAATGAGTTATAAATGTTTAACTGTTCCTGATTGACAAGATGTTATTTTATTGTATGAGTTAACTTATTTCATCTGATGATTGGAAATGCGTTAATTATCTGTTAGTTTGTTATTTAATAATGGTGTCACAAACATCATATTTAATTATTTGCATAATATATTACTGACTCATCAGTATCAGTACTTAACAGTAGAAAGTCACCACATATTCAAATTCGTAAAAGTACCATGTTCTCACTTAAATACAAGCATCTTCTAGGTGTAAACATCTGTTATTATTTGTCCTTATAAATGTACGGACTGTCGGGAAATTTTGAAATGGGTTGTAATAATTGTTCAGTACTACTTGATTTTCGATGATCAGTCAATCATAACGTAGAGAGTCTGACAGATATGTATTGACTTAAATTCCCATAACACAGTGCTATGAAATGAATTTAACAATGTGAAAAGTTAACGAGTCGAAATCATTGTAGTAACAATGATAATGAGGAAGAATAAACATTGAGAATATGGTTAAAAGAAGACAGGATGAGAAGTTATGTATAAAAGGATATGTAACTCGATTTTTAGAGGAAAATACAAGATGAATGCCATTGCGACTGACTATGAACCACGTCACCCAACTACTGATCTTGATTGATAGTATGCATCTATCTACGCGTCTTGGATCAATAGTTGATAATTTCATGAATTTATGTCACGTCTTAGTGTGGTCACCATCAACTTTCTTCCAGCTGACATTACTCGTTGAGGTAGGCAACCATCAGTCAGTAGCATTTTGTCAGCCTACTGTTACTGTTACTACTATTATTAATTATTTTTTATTTGTTTATATGTATGCATCATTTCATCTAATAAAAGAGTTCACTGTGTAACTTTAAACTATCCATCTTTTTCTCGATCGTTTTTCTATAAATTCCTTCCGGATGTGAAAAAAATCATCGATTTTATTACTATTTTTATTACCACTGTTATTTTTGTTAGTCACTATAAAAATTATACTTTACTGATCATAAAATCTATAAATCAAAAATTTATCCCCATAACGTTGTTATGCCATAGAATAGATGGATAAATTATTAGGTAAATGGATGGATAGGTATATAGAATAATTGATAGACGAGTTGGTAGACTGATGTGTAGTCAGATGGGTAGATTGTTAGTAGTAAGAAAAAGAGAGATTAGAAAACAAAAGCACGTGATATGTAATCCGTTCGTAATTTTGTAACCCCGTACAACACTTCACTTTGTAAACAAATTAAATGTACTAAGGAATTTTTCTAAAAGTTGGTAAGTGGAAACCTTCAAAACATTACTATTATCACAAAATCACACAAATAACCTTTCATAAAAAATACCGTTATCGCTTTGTATACATTTCATCGTGTTCCTTTTCAATAGGTTATGAATGCGCACTGCTAAGGAGTCCCATACTAGGATGAAACTTCTTTCCAGTCCTTCCTAGTTTTCAATGGCTATCTAGTTTATTTCTTTGTTAGAAGAGATTGATTGGATATTTTCTCATTCAATGATAAAGTTTTCAGTATCATGAATTGATTAAACCTAAACCTGTAAGCACTGGACGACCGTTTCGTCCTAGTATGGGACTCCTCAGCAGTGCCCATCCACGATCCCGTTTGCCGGATTCTAACCCAGGACCTTCGGTCTCGCGCACGAACACTTAACCTCTAGACTACTGAGCCGGCACCGAACAGTGTTAGTGTCTAACTTCCACCAAACAAAACGAACCACAATCACATCATTAGAGCGTAACAAAACACTCACTAGTACATTTTCTTCGATAACTTTATGCGATTGCAAAATAATAAATAAGAACTTTCGTCTAAATTTAAACGAATGGTTTCACAATATTTGGGCGCCGAGTTCATTTGAGACATTAAAAAGAAGAATATATTTGTAAAATCTCAGCGAATGAACTCGGCGCCCAAATATTGTGAAACTATTCGTTTAAATTTAGACGAAAGTTCTTATTTATTATTTTGCAATCGCATAAAACACTCACTACTTTCATACAATCGACAGATTTTCTAATGTTAACACTAACTATGTCACATTTATATATATTGAGCGACACTTAGATATCAACATTTTCCTCACTTGTTGGACGAACCATGTACGAGAGATGCTTCATAGATTCTTATGATTAACTGTTCGTTCTCTCTACTTAGTGCTTGTACATTTCAGACTATATTTCACACGTTTAAAGTTAATCCAAAGTGAGGTACAGAAGAGAGAATACATACTCTATAGCAGAGAGGTATATGTCTTATCTGTATTAAGCAGATAAGGCGATGACCAACTCTAAACAGGCTTTATTATGTCTCGAACATTTTCATTAGTTATCAAATTTATTCAAACTGAGAAAACTATTAAAATAAACTACTTAGCGAATTAATTCAACCAATTTTCATTACATTTTTTAAAGTAGAAAACGATTACATTTTAGACATTCACTGCCAGTAAATATCTAACCCTTCAGAAGTTGCTCTAAAGAGATATGCTTAGTGTCCTAGCTTTAGTTTTTTGAACTCAAGACATTGATATAAGATAGCACTATAACTGACTAATCTCTGGATAATGAATGATATCTTGCTTATCCAGTCCTGCTTAATGGTTATTATTTTATTTATTTGAACACATAAATATTGATACAAGAGGGCACCAAATATATATGCGCCACACAAAGCAATGAGAATGGGAAGAGAGAAAAAAGAAGGTAAGGAACGTAAAAGAAAAAGGAAGAACAATAACGACCAGATTAATAATGGGGGAAATGGAAAGGTACAACCAGAAGAAATCTCTCAGTTAAGGAAGATACAACCACATTTTATGAAGAAAGTAAAAGAAGGTTACGGCAGGATCGCTACTGGCTTCTATTCTGAGCCATGTATAATAACGTCTTAAACCACTGTGTTGCACCATCTCTCGGACCCCAGCCAGGGAGTCGTGAAGGACCAACAGAAGCCAGCCTTTGCAGCTTTCTTTCATACATTGACTACCTCTCCGCTTTTTCCAACCAGTCCCAGAGTCGGCAAATAATACACGACGTGGAATTCTCTGGGACAACATTCATAGAACATATCCAAGCCACCGAAGTCGATGTTTCAAGATGGTACCACCAATTGGATTATCGTCTCTGCGCCGGAACACACGATACCGAACCTCTGCACTACTAACATGGTGTTGCCACTAGATGTCAGCAATCCTTCGGATACAACGATGATCAAACATAGAGAGCTATCTAACACCCGCAACTGGGAGAGGCCAGGTTTCATAAGCATAAAGAAAAACTACTCTCACCGACGCGTTGTAGATCCGACCTTTTACAGCCAGACTAACATCACGAATGCGCCAAAGATGGCCCAGATTGGTATAAGCCGCTCTGGCTTTCACTATACGTGCACTGATCTCAACACTCACGCTACGATCAGCACTTATGTAGCTACCTAGATACACGAACTTCTCGACTACGTCTATCTGCTCACCATCCAGAGCGAGTACAGGATTAGAATCGTGCCAGTCTTGTAGAAGTACTTTGCACTTCGAAGTTTCAAAGCACATACCGTACCTACGTACATTGATTGCCAACTGATTAAGTGTGGATTGCATGGCTTGGGCATTATCACACAGTGAGACAATATCATCCTCATACTTAAGATCGAGAAGTTTTTCTCCAGGCAACAGATCCACACCGCCATTACTTACATCCATCAGGGTTGTATCCAGAATTTCATCGATGGCAAAGTTGATGAGGAATGGTGAGATTGGGCAACCCTGCCTAACCTCACTGCTCGAATAGAACAATGAAGAAAGGTGGTTGTATGTCCTCACTCTGCCTGAGGTGTTTGTATATAGGGCCTTTAAGATGTTAATAAACTTCTCAGGCACACCCTTCTTCAACAGACAATCCCAGAGAACAGTCCTGTCCAACGAATCGAAGGCAGCCCTGATGTCAAGAAACACTACGATTGTTGGCCTCTGATAAGTATGGCGGTGTTCTAACATTTGGCGGAGGGTGAAGATATGATCAATACATCCTCGACCAGAACGAAACCCAGCCTGCTCCTCGCGAGTCAATCTTTCTCGGGTTTTGAACAACCTACGAAGTATGACGGAAGCCAATAGCAATCGGAAGTAGACTTATCCCCCGATAGTTGTTACAGGAACAACGTGAACCCTTTTTAAAGATAGGGACAACTATCGACTCGTTCCATGGCGTTGGTACACTCTCTAGTTCCCAAACCTTTGTGAACAACGTCGTCAATTCCTTAGTCAAAAAGTCACCACCATCTTTAAAAAGAGCCGGAGGTAAGTCATCTGGGCCAGGTGATTTGTAACGCTTCAAGAGTTGGAGTTCCTTGCGGACTTCCTCCTCGTTTGGTGGATCAGTCGTCACCGGCCATGGAGGGCAGGACAGTCTGACCGATGTTGCCGGAGCAGCAGGCCAGTTGAACTGCCCTTCGAAAACTTCTGCCCATCGTCCAAGACGTCGATGGATGTTAGTGATTGGCATCCCATCATCCTCGCAGATTGTTTCACTCACACCAGACTTCTTGCTGCCAGTGGCTCGGATGAGCTGGAAGAGCTTCCGGTAGTTACCAGATGCAGCTGCTGCTTCCAGCTCATTAGCACGCTCCGACCACCAGGCTTCTCGGTCCTTACGCAAGCTTTGCCCAATTTCCTTACGTAACATCCATCGTTTATGGTCAAACTCACGGTCACCCGGAGTAGACCGACGGGCTTCAATGAGTTGTAAGGAACCAGAAGAAACCCAGTGCTTAAAAGCGGGACGTTTCGCAAACCCACAACTGACTGTTCCCGCCATTTTCATGGCGTCATGCAATTGCAACCAATGCTCATCTATACTTTTCGGTGGAGTGGTAGCTAGCCTAGAGGCTAGCTCGGTTTGATACTTACTAGCAACAGAAGTTGCAACCAGCTTGCTGATATCAATCCGTTGATGGCGGTCACTTCGTTGTCCACTGAAAAGTAAGGTAAGATTGGCGCAGACCAAGGCATGGTCAGAGTCCAGATAGGTACTCCAAAAGGAGCGGCAGTCTTTTACACAACCACGCCAGCGGTAGCTAATCGCGATGTGATCAATCTGAATCCAGGCTTGGGATGCAGAGGGAGGACACCAGGTGGCACATCGGCGATAAGTGTGCCGAAAGTTAGTGCTAGCCAGAAACAGGTTGTGGTCTGTGCAGAGTTGCAGTAGACGGTTCCCGTTATCTGACCTGCGACCAACGAGTCCCCATCGGCCACCTAAACGACTCTCTTCTGTGCCTAGACGCCCGACCTGAGCATTCAAGTCTCCGGCTAGTACTACAATATCTGTCGAGCGCACTTTCTGGAGAAGAACAGATAACTGGTGGTAAAACTCATCCTTGATTCGTCCTCTCATTTTCGTAAACCACACCCCGCAGTGAGTAGGACTTTCCTGGAAGAGGCTGTATACGCGTGGCCGTGTGAGAGTATTTCGAGAGCTTGGGCGGGCCCACCCCACTCTCGGCCATACCCCTGGACATTTGGGGGCTTAATGGTGATCAAATCTTAAAGACCGATTTGTAATGCAGCCATTACTCTGAGTAACTCAACACTACTTGCGCTATAATGAGACTTCAGTTAGTTGAATATAGTCATCAGAACACTCTCTACAGAGATTTCATGTTAATTGGTGATTTCGAGTTATTCAGATTAGTGGCCACATTGCAACCTGGTTGTTAGAATTCGATCAAGATTAAACGACTTAGCAAACATAACATTGATGATTGTTTAGTGATCAGTCAATTTTAAGCCTCAGTCTTACCTAAGATCAATTGCCACCCAAACAGCTCAGTGACAATTTCTGAAACTGAAGCAGGTTGATTCCGGTTTGCATTCTATAGTTTGCATTGGTCTCTTGAAAACTACAAATATGTCTTACTTATGAGTGTCAACTAGTACGAAATCTATGGTCAGCGTTTCCCGTCGACTACCTCAAGCTATCTTCGATACCACTATAAGTGACTGCTCTATGAATTGATCCGAGTTCACTTCTATTAATTCCAACTATAAATAAGCGAAGGTTTTATCACCAAGTGTATAAATCACACAGGTGTCAATTGATCATGTTGTAGATATCAAAATATCAGTTCTACTTAATTAATATATTCTTGAAATCGTACACTTTCTTTTTCTTCTTCTTCAGTTAAGCTAGAAAATATACCTCAGAATGAAATTTGATTATCATGTTTATATGTTGTGTTATGTCTAAAGCAACTAGTTGCTTTCCTCTTTCATAAAACTTTGTATATCATTTGTTCCCTGGTCGTTTGGACATTTGTTATTCATTCATATGACTTCATCTTCCTCTTATAAAAATTCTACTAACTTGATACGGTTGTTATCTTATTCTAAGGTTATGATTATAAATCACAACTTGATATTTACGCTATAGTGCACACATATTAGTTCTTAAGATCCGCGTCAATTCACATGCTCATATGATAATTAATTTCTGTAAACATCCTAACATTAGTTTGAAGCTTTCCATTGATGTTATAGACAACAGTTGATCAGTCTCTTTTCGTTTGTGCATCCTATGTGGATCCTAACATATGAATTAAGAAATATAACCTATTTCATGGATTTCTAAGCATTAAATTTGTGCAAATAAACTAGTATGATGCATTATTTCAAAGGTGTAATTTTTTTATGAGGATAAGGAACCAATCATCTGTTGATGATTAATTTAAAGATGGAATTTTCATTATGCATGCATATGAGTTGAAGTATTGTTGAAAATTAAGTTTGTCATCAAACAGTTGTTTCATTCTAGTTCATAATTTTGTAAATAATGTACATTTTCAACTGAAACTAGTAGTCATATTGCAACTTGACTGATAGAATTCGATCAACACTAGACAATCAATTATAAACTATGTGGATATTATTTTCAATGCACCAAACGGAGTACAAATAAACAGTAAGATATTTTCAGATACAATATGGTTACAAATCAAACACACCTGTTAAAAAGAGATAGAGCTCACATTCTAACATTTGTATTGTACATATCATGTTGTAGGAATATTATCATTCATATGTATATTGTTTCTGAAATTTGAGACTCAATATTTGATGTGTATTTTCGTCCTTCATATATATATATATGCATATAGGTTCTCAGGTCTGATCTTCGGTTCCCTGAACTATATGTGGAAATGTTTCAATTAGCTGATAGTGCATCAGCGCTATTTTCCGCTTCTGCTCAAGCTGTAACACTAGCCTGTTCTGGTGTTCTACAATCCTCATTAGGATCTTTTCAAAATTCTCAGTTAGCATCAACTTCTTTGAATAATAATCAATCTAATTTAAATATAAATAAATCATCTGATTCGTCAGTAAATAATAGTGATTTTATTCTTTCCGTTGATCGATGGGATGCAGGTCGACTTGCTTTAACTGTTCCAGCAGCAGCGGCAGCGGCAGCTGCAGCAGTTGTTGCATTAACTGAACAAACTTCTATATGTCAAAATAATAATAATCAATTATTACTACAACCTAATTCTCAATTGTCTTCAACATGTGCATTTCCTCAGTTCTCCAATTCAATTGTTGTCGGTTCATCACCATTATTGTCAACCAATGTTAGTCTTAGTTCGTGTCAGAAACGAGCTAAAAATGATGCAAATCAATCGGATAATACAACATCTACTATTCCTGTTTTTCCTACGAATACCAATAATACTATTGCTTTTATCACTTCACCTTCTTCTTTTATGTTTCCCAATCAATTACATCATCCATCTTCTTGATATTAACTTGCCTCTCTCTATCCATCTCTTTGTACTCTTATACAAATATAAAATACCCAGTCACACTAAATTGATCCTGTGTGTCTTACATTCTTAATGGTTATCTTTTAAATCTATGGAATATATCTTTACATTTTTCCAAATCTATTCGTCCATCGATTTTTTTCTTCTTTTGCCCTCAAAATAAAGATGATGATGATGATTATAAGGCAACACACTACACAATTACATATTGATTAATTTAGTTTTTATGAGACTATCTCCTGGATTTTTCCTGTTTTGTATTTATGTGAATTGTTTTTTTAGCTTATACTTTCATTATTTTTTTCTTTTCCAAATCGAATTTCTTTTTTTTCTCAACCTTAAACATTATCATCATTGTGTGTGTGCTGTACTTCAATGATTGTGTATTATTGATTTTTTTGTTGTGCGCTTATTTTTTTGTTTGTAATATGACACACATACATTGCAATGAACCTTTCTGTAAAACAATTAAAATGGAAGAAATCTAACTGATATATAGATATAGATATATATACATATACACACACGCAAAATCTCCGGTAATCAATAATTTATTGTATTTCTTTATGGTGGTGTAACTCAGGTTATATTTTCGGTTTATTTATTTATTAAATTAATTTAATTTAATGAAAGGGATTTATATTTTATATCTCTTTTACAACGCCTCTAAAATTTACATTGTAAATGACATTTTATGTCTATGTGTATGTGTGTGTGTCTATGTATGTGTATGCAGGTACTAGGAGAGAAGAAAAAACAACAACCACAACAATGAAGAAGAAGAATAATGAATTTTGCTATTAGTATAGTATCATTGTGTTTTGGTTGATTTATATATATTTATTGGAATGATTATTGATATTGATATTATTCGTTTTGATATTATGGTTACAATGTGGTGTATACGTTTTATTCATTGTTTCCATTCTATCTTACTCAATTTCATTTAAAATGATTTCTGTTTATTAATCAGGGGTTTTCTTAAAGTTTCAAGCTTCTTTTTGTCTTTTCTCATTCTTTTATCTTCATCTTTATTCAATATTTCATTTTGTATACTGCATGCTATATTATTTAATTTCAGCATGTACCCAGTGTGTGTGTGTGGTGTTGTACATTTGTCAATCCATATTTTAGTAAATATGTTCCCTTTTATTTTTCAGTATCACTAATGTGTAATTTCATTATTATTATTGTTATTATTATCACCATCTCAGGGAATAATGAACTTTTACTATGGCTAATAATATCAAATTTGTTATTACCAGTAATACTACTTACAAGTCAATGTATATTATTATTATTATTATTACTGTTTGATCTATCTGTCTATCTCATGGAACATTTTGTACGTTTGCTTTCCATCTGCATTACCTCGATTCCATTTTCCCCCTTTTTATCCACACTTAATATTGTATACGCAGGGATACGTACATGTATTTATCTATCTGCATATACTTGTTACAATCTTGTTCTATGTAGAACAATTTACCGTGCCACTTTTACACATTTATATATAAATACACACACACACACTACTCGTACCCTTTTTTTATAGTACAATGACTTAATTCCGACCGATGATACCTGAAAACTCTGTTTTATGGAGTCTGTAAATGGTTATTATGATGTGTTTTTTTTCATCAGCATATGCTTTTATAAATTTCCATATTGAAAATTTTTTGTTCTTTACCACTTTTGAGTTGCTTTTTTTACCTACTCCCCGTGTGTCTCTTCACTTCGAATATATTCCTTTATATGACTTTTATAAAACAGACTTGGATTCGTGTGAGTGCAATGCACAAACCCACATACCATTTTTTGGATTTTGTCTTCTATTTTTACATATGTATGTATACGCGCACCCTAAATACAGACACGTTTTGCTTTGCTTTTTTTCTTACTCTACTCACTATCTATATCATGGTAACCAGTGTTGACGTCCTGATTCAAGTACCCAGGTTTGTCTGTGTGTTCAGACGATTTGTTTATCACATCTCGGTACAAACATGTGCTTATAGACATACATAACTTCATTTTGTCGAATATCTGATTATGTGTTCTTACTGCTAGACCTTTTTCTTCACCTCATTAAAGGAGATCAGTCATCTCAAATGTGGAAACTAAAACAGTCATATTGTTAGTCTTGGTGTTTACTGTGTGTACACTCGTACCATATACTGTTCATTGTTATTTATTATACCAGGTAATTTCTACACGGTTTTTGTTATTAGTGTTATTTTAGCCTATTTATTTCTCCCGTGTTACACTATTCTTTCACTGGTTATTACTACAATGATTTTTGGGTTTAATTTTACTTTCGAATACAACACATGTACATATATGCATACACATGTTCCTTCATTCATTTACACGGCAGGGAATTGCAAATAATGTTGTATTCCTTTCTTATTTTTATTAAAAAAGACCCAGGCACTAACTGGCTACCTCATTTTGTCATTATCACAAATTATTAACATTGTCAATCAAACAACATTGGAACTGGAATTCAAAACAGGCCCACATACACACACACTAAAATGCACGTCACTGATTCAAAAGTTGTAATCGAACAAACAGGCAATGTATACAACATCTTTGGTGGCTTTTTCATTCTTTTTTTAATGGTATTTCAACAACCTTTCGTCTTATTTATTGATTTCTAGTTCACGACATCAATTTCATTGTCATTATTCTCTTTTTCTATGATGAATATCATAATTTTCTGAGTCAGGGTGTATTTATTTTAGCTTAATCTTTATTAAAGCGCCAATCTGTCTCGCTACATACATAAAGATGTGCGCCATATGAATGAAACAAATTTAAGTGTCTAATGTAATTTTACTAAATGCGCCATTTTTTAAAATTCTTTTTTTTTCTTTTTAAGTATTAATAAAATATGCTGATATTTTATTCCAATGCATGTTCCTATCTGTGTGTATAATTGAATGATTATGCTTTTTTTGGGGGGGGTCTAATAAACAGTAGAAAGATAAATTAAAATAAGAAAAAAAGAAAAGAAACTTGATTAGTTTCTCTTATTTTTCTTTCTTCTAATATAGAATCCCTTCAATTTATCATCCGTGAAGTATGTTGTCAAATAAAATCTTCCTTTATATATTTGCTTTAAAACAGCTTCATGTAAACTATTTTTCCCTTCATTTTATTCACTATACTATTTATTATTGTTAATAATCGTATATTTTATAATTGTAATTATTATAAATAGTAGAATTGGTCAATTTATATAGCGCCTTTTCTTTTATTTTTAATTGTTTTATTTATTTATTAAAATATCATTATTTACTTGCAAGTTGTCTATTTCAACTACATATTGATCGATTTATTTATTGAATGAATATGTTTTGTTCTTTATTTTACCCTCTCTCCCCCCTCCCTCCCCCTTTCTCTCTCTCTCTCTTATTCACGAATTTCTTGTCTCTTTTGTTGTACGTACATATATATGTGTGTGTGTGTGCGTGTGTGCATATATTGTTCTGATATAATTATGTTACAATTACAAACAGGTAATAAATAGACATACTTGTATACACGATACTAGACGTACATACAGTTTAACCATTTTGTGCCTGATTATAATTTCTTTTTCTTCTTCATAAATTCAAAAAAAAAATGAAATTTTAATGATATTTGATTTTGTTCTCCTTTTTTTTATTATTTATTATTATTATCAATTCTACTTTGAATGCTCCAATCATAGTTATTAATCAGTCAGGTAGTTGTATACACACTTTTTTCCATTTGTACTTCTATTGTATCACAATCTGAGTTCAATAAAACGGAACATGTATGTGTAAGTATATCTTTTCAAGGTTATATATTCCTTTTCTTCACTCCGTTTTACACACATTTATACTCATAAATATACTTCCATAGCAATTATATTATCATTGCCATACCATTCTCTTGCTCAGGTAATTTATGATCCCCGGTCATCTTGTTCATGTGTTTTCTTTCTTTTACACACTTGTTTCTCGTTTCATGACCATTAGTGTATGTGGGTGTACGGTGTTGTTTCATGTTCATTTACGTACACTTGCCCTATTTCACATGTTATTTAGTCTGAATCCATACATTGGAATTCCATTCCCCCTGTTTCTTCTTTTCAACGAATACAGAATGTGTAGTGAATAAAATATTTACGTTGATATATATATATATGAATACGAATTGAATTCCAAGTGACTTTTACCGTTGATCCTATTGAGCTGTACGCTTCATCTTTTGTTTTACACATATATGTAAAGAAGAATAAATAAACAGTTTTTCTTACCGCGTTCTCATTGTCTCACATCTCTTCGCGCCGATTGTTACTGTGTTATTTCCTCCGTTTTTCTTATTCTCTACGAGAAAAAAAAACTATTATTGATTTTTGTCTTCTGATGAATAATAAATAGTAATATATTTTAAAATTTAGTTGTCTACATTTACTACAAACATAAAATAATAAATGAAATATACTAGAATAATTTTAGTTTCATTCATATTTACTCTATACAATTGGTTGGGTTTTATTCAATATGTTGAGTTGTGATGATTACGTCATTGTATTATGGCCGTTTCGTCCTATCGTGGGACTTCTCAAGAGTGCGTATTCACAATTCCGCATCGCGATATTCAAACTGAGGCAGGATCGTGGATGCGCACTCCTGAGCAGTCGCACGATAGGACGAGATGACTGTCTAGTGGTTCCAGGTTTTCCATGGTGGTTTCACTTCAATCGACTCATGATCTCAAGTATTAAAATCACATTGATTTATTTACATGTTGTGTAATGCCTATACGTGAAAAAATGACCACGTAACACATTTGACATCGTCATTTTTACTCTATCATGACAAAAAAGTACCGTTCCTCAAAAGTCTTCGAATATTCTAATCAATTTTACATACATACTTTTATTGCTCACTTTCTGTAATGAAACATATAAGTTATTCATTTTTGAATTTTATACAAAA